GTGTAAAAAATACAGTTTTCAATGCACCACAAACTGATATATACAAGCTAAAAATCACATATTATGATCATCTTGCTTCATAATGTAGAGTTTGAATGGGATAAAACGGGTACAAAAGTGATAATATTCCATATAATCTCGAAGATTCCACTAAATTTGATGAGTTGAGGGGGTAGTGTAATTATCCAAACAAGAGGGGTCTTTTTGTAATTTGACCATACCTCAGGGGGGTGTTTGTAATTTACCCAAAATTTTATCAATAAAGTTCAACTCTGGTCAAATGACACCACACTTTTTTACTCCACTAACTCCATGCGGGCTACAATCACCTCACTCTTGGAAAAGAGATTAACATATGTATCATATACTTATGAAAATACGAAGTTGCTAAATTTAGTGATAAAATAGAATTAAAGCAACATAATTATTGCTTATGAATTAAGCACCCTACTATACTTACATGGGTGGCCCTAAGTTATTATCCATCTCTTATAGTCTACCATGCCATAATTAAAGAGCACGATCATAAAAAGTGATTTCTAGATATGATATTATTCAAACTTTCACAAATGCATAAATATTTATCCAATATTTGTTTGCTTTCTATAGTTAAAATCATTATAAATTAATACTGTTGAAATTAATAAAATTCTATTACTTTAGCTGCTAAAGTATTAATTTATTGAATTAAAAGTTAAGCACATTATCACAAAGTCAGGACCTTGTCAATTTATCGAGTATTAATTTATCGAATTCTACTGTAATTGATAATATATCATATGCCTCAATTTTTTCTATGATGTTGCAAATTGCTACTTTTTGTTTATTGGTAAATTCACCCCTCTTTTTCCCTCTAATTAAAGCCGATTTATTCATAAATATAATCTTTTTTTTTTCCTAGAAAAATCAACCATGCACTTCCAATGCCATATTTATTTTATTATGACACCATATTATAGACTGATATATTCAATTGACTCTATTAATAATATTTAATAGCTCTAGACTTGTCAAACAATTTATTCCACAAATTTAAAAGAATGTTGAAGAAAGATTAGAACAATACTTAATACTCTTATTTTCATATTTCAATTATTTTATTTTATTTTCCCTTCTTGTTCTTTTGGCCTTTTTTGACGAAACTTTCGGTAAATTGACCAGATTCAAATCCTTTTGCAATATTGAACTTGTTACACATAGCTAACTTGGTGTGATTTACGTCTATCGTATGATTTGTAAGTCATTATACGAGAGTGTAAGTTTACACTGTGCACCTGTATAGTGTGAGGTTGAATGCGAGTTCCTTCATTCCCCAAATAAAAAAATAAAAAAATAGAGGAAACTATGACAAAAATAGACCCACGTGATATATATATATATATATATATATATATATATATATATATATATATATATATATATATATATATATATATATATATGTATGCATACATTTTTGTTCCTCAAACCAAACCATTCCCTTTTCATCCACTCTAAAAGAAAAAAACACCCAAGTGCGTTTGATTCTTTCTTAGTCAAACGTTTTTGGGGGGTTCTTAATTTTCAGCATTTGTTGGACAAATTTTTGTCTCTCTTTGACTTTGAAATAAAAAAAAAAAAAAAAGCATTTTATGTGTATGTAACAAGTATTCTTCGCGTGCTCGCTGTATATTAATTCCCCCACAAGATTTTTTTTTTTTGATTTCTTGGTGGGCAATTCGCAAATTGATAGAGATAGATTTCTGGGCATTTGATCATCTTTTTTATTTAATTAATTTTTTTATTTTTGTAGGAGATTTTGAGCAGAGAAAAAAAAGAAGATTCTTGATTTTGATTTGAAACTTCTTTTTTTCTTTTCCCCATTCGATTTTTGCTTTAATTTGTTTCTTGATTCTTGATTTTGTGATCGCTGCTGCTGGTGTTTGTGTTCAGGTGAGTTCATCTTTTGATTATTTTTCAGAATTACAAAACTGTCTATTTAATTTTAATTTGCCTCTAATTTAATCGCGTATGAAACATTTGTTTGTTAGCAGTATATTTGTGGCTAATGTTCTCCGGGTTTTGCTGTTCGTTATTCGGAGAATTTTGGGTTTTAGATTAATATTTTGATTAGGCAGTTGGTAATTTAGCAGTTAACCTTTTCGTAGATTTCGCCGATTTTTCCCTAATTTTAATTAGCTTTATCGAGGATTAATTGCAGTTTAGTTCTTCGATTGATGCTGCATTTAGCTTGCTGTTTCTTTGCGGTGCATCATTAGTACGTTGTGCTATAGATACAATTCGTATATTCGATGATATAATATCCAAGAAGCAAAATAAGATGTGATTTCGATCCGAAAACTGTGAAAAAAACCGAACTCGAAAGCTTGTTCACCGTATAATTGCCTGATACGATATTCGTTATAGCTCGGGATTTGATTTGAAGACGAACAGGAGTTGTTGAATTTTTTTTGTTCGATTTTTCTTTGTAGAAAAGAATGCAGGTGTATAATTATTTTTTTCTAATGTTATTTTTATAAGTTCTTGATTCACATTTTTGAAAGCCTTGCGTTATTCGTCTACAGCTGGGGTTGAATATCTTGTCGTCGACTATGTTCGAAATATATTTCAGCTAAAATGGGGTGGCTTAGTAAAATTTTCAAGGGCTCGGAGCATAAAGTTTCGGAGGGGCGATACGATTGGAGATATGGAGCTGATACAGTGGAGAATAATCCAGCTTCTTCGTCCGTGAGTTAATTTTTTCAAAATTATCTAGTGTTTTTTTTTTTTCCGATTCTTTTCGATGAAAAGCTTATTCACGGAAGAAAAAAAAATGGTGTAGGATTCGTGGTCGGAGATTGAAGACATAGACCGTGCTATTGCATTATCTCTTTCCGAAGAAGATCATAGAGGAAACACGGTTATAGGTGAAATTTCTGTCTTTTTTATTTAATTTATTTTAATTTAATTTATTTACGTTTTTTACGGTTAAGTGAAAAATAAGTTTATGCATGGATAGATAGTAAACCGCAGTTGGAAGAAGACGAACTACTTGCTAGGGCTCTTCAGGAAAGTTTGAATATCGAGTCTTCTCCAGAGTCAACGAGTCGGAATGACAGTGGGAATGGAAATAGATTTGGACACGGGAATGGATTCGGGCACGGGAATGGATTTGGACACGGGAATGGATTTGGACACGGGAATGGATTCGGACACGGGATTGGGTATGGACATGGTAATGATAGCCATTACCAGCCTATATCTTTCCCACATACTACGAGTCTCAGGTAAACTAATTTCCGATGCTCTTATTCAAAAGGCGAAAATGTTTGATCTTCAAATTTGAATTCTTCAACATTTTGCAGAATCGTATCTCGTCTTTGCAATTAGTTTATTTCTTCAATAAAATATTCGTATTTTTTTTTTTTTTGCTTAGGAAAACTTTATTTACTATCATTCGTTTGGCTTCCGAAATCCTAACATACGTGATTGTGATAAAATTTTAAGACAATGTACCTACATAATATCCTCGATTTCCATTAATACAGATCAAATAATATTCGGTCATTTATCGATTCATAAGAAAATTATTCTGCGACAATGAATTTTGAAGAAATAATTTGCATTTTGTTCTGTAATAGGATTTGTGCCGGTTGTAATACCGAGATTGGGCATGGAAGGTTTTTGAGCTGTATGAGTGCTGTTTGGCATCCCGAATGTTTTCGATGCCATGGTTGCACCCATCCTATTTCTGATTACGAGGTACAAATATTCTCATTTCTCCATCAGCGTGTGTGTGTGTGTGTGTGTGTGTGTGTATATATATATATATATATATATATATATATATATATATATGATAAATTACGGTCACCCTCGAGGTAAGGTCAAATTTAAAAAGAAAAAAACTTCCTGTTTGGGTAATTAAAACCAACCCCTTCAACTATGAATCTTCTTACACTTCCATCCTTATGGTATCAAATTCAACAAAATCTTCTAGATTCTGTGGAATATTCTCTAGTATGTACTCGTTTTGTGTAAAAATACAGTTTATGATGCACCACAATCTGATATTTACAAGGCTAATAGAGACATCTTATGATCATCCTGTTTCAAAATGTGGAGCTTGAATGTTGTAAAACGGGTACACACGGGAGAATATTCCACGTAATCTAGAAGATTCCACTAAATTTGACACCGTAAGGGTTGATGTGTAAGAAGATTCATAGTTCATGGGGTGGTTGTAATTACTAATTACCCAAACATCAGAGGGGTTTCGTAATTTGACCTTACCTCAGGGGGTGGCCATAATTTATCTGAGGTGGCCGTAATTTACTTATATATATAATATATATATGTATATGTTAAACTAAACGAACTTCTTGTTTTTTCGTGTATTGCAGTTTTCAATGTCGGGTAGCTTCCCATATCATAAAGCTTGCTACAAGGAGTCTTATCATCCTAAATGTGATATCTGCAATCACTATGTAAGTATCTGTAATTAATAATACTCTAATGATTTGAATAATTTTCAATTAATAATCTCTAATTTATGCATTTTGAATTTTCAATTCCTGTGGGTGAATTCAATTTGACCCAAATCCATTTCGTGTTTCTTGTATTTATTTCCGTTTCAGATTCCGACGAATGCAGCTGGGCTAATCGAATACCGGGCTCACCCGTTTTGGTCACAAAAATACTGCCCAACTCATGAGCACGATGGAACTCCTAGATGCTGTAGCTGCGAGCGTATGGAGGTAATTTTTTCTCTCCAACTAAACTCCGGAAAAGAAAAACATTTAAAATCTAATTTCGATTTCGTTTCTTGTTTTCAGTCATGGGATGCGAGATTTGCCGCACTAAATGACGGTAGAAAGCTCTGTTTGGAGTGCCTCGACTCGGCAATTATGGATACCGATGAGTGTCAGCCCCTGTTTCTTGATATTCAAGAGTTTTACGAAGGATTAAATATGAAGGTCACGCAGCAAGTTCCGTTGCTATTGGTCGAGAGGCAGGCTTTAAACGAAGCTATGGATGGAGAAAGACATGTAATAAAAAAATTTGTTTCTATTTCGATCGAGAAAAAAAAAAAAAAAGAAAAAAACTTTTTGTTTTATATTAAATACTATTTTGTCTTTTTTTTTTCTTGACAGGGGCATCATCACATGCCTGAAACTCGAGGCCTTTGTCTCTCCGAGGAACAAACAGTCAGCACCGTAAGGGTCTTCTTTTATTTTTTTATTTTTTTTATTTTTTTTGTAAACCATTTTTCGATTTTTTTGCATTTTCTTAATTTTGGGAAATGCAATTAAAAAAATATTTATTTAATTTTGGATTGTCAGATATTGAGGCGGCCGAGAGCAGCTGGAGGAAATCGTGCAATGGGAATGAGAACAGAGCCTTACAAATTAACGCGGCATTGTGAAGTGACAGCCATCCTCATTTTATACGGTCTCCCGAGGTATTTTAAATTTTTATTTCTTTATTTTGGGATTGTTAATAATCGGGTTTTCGTTCCGAAATATTCAAATTTTAATTTTTTTTTTTTCAGGTTACTGACTGGATCCATATTGGCTCATGAGATGATGCACGCTTGGCTTCGACTTAACGGTGCTTACTCATACCCTCTTTCAACCATTATATCTTCGAGTTAATTACATTTAGTACCATTTATTATATCGCATTGCTAAAAAACCCCCCTGTGATACATATTAGCAAAAAAACTCCACGAGGCATTTTTTTAGCACACGACCCCCTAAATTTTTATTTATTTATTTTAATTTTTTTTGGTTGGAAAAAGGTTATCGAACGCTAAGACAAGATGTGGAAGAAGGTATATGCCAAGTTCTCGCAAGTATGTGGTTAGAATCTCAGATTCTATACATGTCTGATAATAACAGCAACGCGTCCACATCATCATCGTCGTCATCATCGAGGCAAGGGGCGAGATCTCCGTTCGAGAAAAAGCTTAGCGTGTTCTTCAAACACCAGATCGCTTCCGATACTTCTGTCGTGTATGGAAATGGCTTCCGAGCAGGTAATCAAGCCGTGATGAAATTCGGTTTACAGAGAACCCTCGATCACATGCGAGAAACGGGCAATTTTCCTTATTAAAATTTGGTATTTTCTTTTTCAAATTCGGAGTAAAAAAATTTATATATTCTTTTTCTTCCATTCTTATTGAAATTGCAGCTTTGGCCTTTTCCTCCATGTATTAGCATTTAAGGCCATTCATTTTATAGGAATTACATATTCAGTACAGAAGTTTTCTCAGAATAGGTTTAGGGTGTCATATTTTATCATCCTTGTATATTTGAAGTCCTTAGCATTTATTTCTTTAAAAAAGAACAATAAAAATTCATAGCCGACTGATATATTTTCGATTTCCTCGTCTCAAATATTTATATAAATTTACTTCCTGCTACGAAATAATTTTACGCAAATGTATTAGAGTTTATTGCATTTATACCCCTGTTATATCAAAATACTAAAAAACTCCTCTTACGATAAATATTCGCAAAAACCCATCTACGATGTATTTTTTTAGCATACAACCCCCAAAATCGCGAGTTTTTTGGAGGTAATTTGCTAACATTAACAATATAGGGACTTTTTAAACAATTCAAATAAACATAGGGGTGTTGAATGCAATAAACAGAATTTACTAGAACACAAAGGAAGATGAGCTGAAGCTAGTAGTAATCTCATCTTCCATGCACAAATCCACATTACTGCAAACTACACTACACAACAATGGCTTCTCTATACTAAACTGCACTTTCAAAAGAACCGAAACAACCTCTGCCATTTCGGGTCGACCCGCCGGATCTTGTCTGAAGCAGCTGAAGCATAATCTCGCCACCTGCAGAGCGTATTCCATTCCTCCACCAGCAACTAAACCGGGCCCCACAAACCCGCTCAACGCAGCCTCTACGTTCTCGCTCTCCATAGTAGCAGCTACACTCGTCGTAAGTATTGTTTCCCTATCGCCTTTCTCGAAAACCGAGTACTTCCCCGCGGTTATAATCTCCGATAGAACCACCCCGAAACTAAATACATCAACCTTAGTAGCAACTGTTTTATCGATACTACCGTCGATTTTTGTTGCAAGATTGAAATTCGAAATCTTTGCCCTTAAATTTCCGTCGAGGAGAATGTTTTCGCTGCTTATATTGTTGTGTGCGTAAGCTGGACTGGCAAAGTTGTGTAGATAGAGAAGCCCGTTTGCAACGTCGAGCGCTATACCGATCGCCTGGCTCCAGCTCAGCATTCTTCCGCTTAGCCATTCTCGGAGGGACCCGCTTCTCATGTACTCGTAGACAAGGTACGAGGAAGAGGAATATTCTTTTCCCTCTCCGCAGAATATTCCACGAAGTTTTACGATGTTGAAGTGGTTAATCTTCTGCAGAATCTTCACCTCATCATCTGCTTTTCCGTTGATTTTTTTAACGGCCAAGATTTCCCGTCGTAAGATTCCACGGTAAACGGAGCTACCCTTTATTCTATTCTTTGCTCCGAAATTTCGCGTCGCCCTTTTTAATTCGGAGAATTCGAATACTTTGAGTGCTCGATCGAAGCTCGCGATTTCAAGAACCAGTTCCCTTGGAGAATAATTACGCGCCTTATTCTTCTCTGTAATATTTCTTGTTTCTCTCTTACGAAATAGAAAGATCAAAATCAAGAAAAGAAGCAAGATCAAGAGAGAGAAAGCACCTGCAGATATACCGACAATCGAAAGAACGATTCTCGATTTATTATTTTCACGAAAAATGGGAGAAGGTAAAGGCGATGTGGTGATCGGATTAATATTTCGGTTTAAAGTATGCAAACTCGAGGGTTCGTTTTTCATAGGAATTAAAACAGTTGTGAAGGGATAAATAATAGTCGGAAAAATATTCGCCTCACTTATTCCCTTCTTACTCACATTGAATTGTTTACTCAAAGCATAAATAGTATCACCAAAACCGATCGAATAAGTCACCAAGAACTTGATTCCTTCTTCTTCTTGTTCACTCGTTGGACAAGCACATCGAAGTGGGACCCGCAATTTACTTCCAAACGACAAAGGCCGATTACTATTCGCATGTTTAAGAGAATCGCACGTCGATAATCCTTGATAAGTATTGTTTGCAATTGAGAAGTAGCTTTCGGACTCGGTTAGGACAGTGTAAGTGGTGGTGGCTTCGTAGTAATTATCCGAAGAGCAAGAGCAGTCCACAGGTACGATGATTTCTTGTCCTGTCGGAAAATTCGCGACCGTTTTGAGGTTGTTGAGTTTCGCGATTTCTGATTGGTCGGAAAACGTGAGGGATGAAATTGTGGGAACTGTATTGTACGGAGGGTTTGCTGTGAAGATCAAGAAAGCTTTGCACGAGAAACTAAGGCTGTTATTGCATGTGTAGAGAGAAGATTCCGACATGTTTGCTTTGTCGGAACAATCCAAGACGGAGTTTCCGGAATATTTTTGCTGCGCAAAAATGCATTGAACAAAGAAAATAAGAGTGGTGATGGAATTGAGGATCCAATTCATGATGATTTTTTTTTATGGTGTTTTTCTTGAAGAGTTTTTTGAGTATTAATCCGACGTTTAAAAGCGCGTTTTCGGGGATTATAAAATTGAGGGTGGTGATTAATAATATTAATTATGGATTATGATGATAAGGAACAAGGAATCAAGAGAAGAAAATGATTCAAGTTAAGACAAAGATTCTTATGCAAAATTTGTAGTGTAATGTTAAAGGTGGTGGAATAAATTAGGTGATTATGTTGTTGTTTTATGTTTGGACAGAGGAATTTGAAGGCTGCTTGCATAGATTAGTCTTTTAATTAGTTATTAATTTATTAGGTTATTTCCCGTGAATCAAATGTTTCAGATGGTCAAGATTTTTATGAATTAAGAAGAACGACACCCGATGAAGGTGGGAAGTTGGGCTGGTCCCCAATCTTGTAGAAGAATTGAGTCCAACTGACTACAAGTTCACTTTTTTTTCTAAAGTGCAAATTTCGATTTGATTTGTCAAATTTAACCCCAGTATTATCATCTAATAATGCCCTCAAATTCGGCAGGCTTAAATGACAATATGTTTTGCCAATTTTTCTCTAGAACCTAACTCTAGGAAAAGAACAAATCGATTAAATTTTGTATAAATGGACCAAAAGACAATAAAATAAAAATAAAAGGAAATTGTGAGAATAATATAATTTGACTTGGTCGGCTAATCACGATCCCACACAAGATCTTCTTAATAGACCTTTTGAAACATTCAAATCCGCAGAATCAAGAAAGAAACGCTAATCAACAATGACGGCATCAATAGAACCGAAAACGATAACCTTGAAGCTGTTGATATACTCTTCCTCTGTGGCCACACTCGCCAGTCTTCTCAAAAATGAAGGAAATTCATTGAATTTATTCTCCAAACTAATTATATATATATTTTAAACGATAAAGCTGCTACTCCAGCTGCTTCTTCGTAGCCTATAAACTATAAGGTGCATAATTCAAAGGCGATAACACATCCATGAACATGGACACATATGCCTGAAAGTGACCGACACCCATGCTCAATAGCACTCCAACATATGCAACTTGAGCTTCTGTAGCAACCCAACCAACTTCGTCTTCGGCGCTTGAAGAACGTGACAACATAATCGTTTATATTTCAATTTTAAAGTAATTTTCCATTTTTTAAATGTACACACTTTCTAGAAAAAGCTGTCCACTTTTATTTTTCATTCTCTTTAAATTTTACGTTACATTCAGCCAAAACCACCTAATATTCCCTCCATATTTTCATTTATTTTGAGAGACAGAGTTAGAGTTAGATCAAAACGTATAGATTTTACAATTACTCCAAGTGTTTGTTGCTTCATTGGTTTACAAATAATATCCTGCTCTACATATATTTCCCCACCTCTCTCTAATAGATGGTGGGAATATATTTAATCTTACTATTGATAGTTGCTATACAAAGTACCACATGAATATGTTCTAGGTAAATACAATGGAGAGATTCTAGGAAGTTCATATAGATCTCTAAATTTTTGTGACAACTTCCCGACATATTTCTAAGAAAAATCCTATTTACAAATGATCCACTGGTTCGGTGAAAACCTCTTTGGCCAAAATAACATAAAATTCGGTCCAAAATAGACGACGACCATCACTCCTTTTATTAGACATGTTCCAAGCTGGTTATCGAGTTGGATCTGGCAGTTCACATGATGCGGTTATGTGAATCCTTAATCAGCACGAAATATACACGGTTAAGACCCATCTTATTCTAGTCAATCTATTTGCTCGAGTTCTCTCGAGCTATCAGAAGGTCATCGTAAATACGAACCTATTAAGGTTGCTTAAATTACATTTTTTTTTTGGAATCATCCCTATAGTTACATTCCCATTTATCATATCCAACTGCTTTTACAAATAAATTGATCATATGAATAACTTACAAGTGAGAAAAATATCGTTTATCATTTATATATACCATAGTCCCAATAAATATTTACTTTCATTGTTATTATTCTTTGTTATTCCAAAGTTGGTTTTTTTATCCTATTTGCATTATACATTGATAAATTAATACTCTGACAAATTATAACTTCGTTTAAATATTTTTTTATTCTAGTCCTGACTCAGTAAAAACATACTAAATTATTAGTTCCATAATTTAATATTTCGCCGAATTAATCGAATTTTACTTAGTACATTAATTTATAAAGCTTTAACTACACAAAGTATAATAAGAATAAAAGAAAAAATCTAATCTAAGTCATCATCTTGTGAAATTCATGGAAATCGAGCACCCCATTCCCATCAAGATCGAAAACCCTAATCATCTCCTCGCATTCCTGATGAGATCTCACATCCCCAAGCCGCCGGAGACCTCTTAGGAGCCCCTCCGCCGTGATGCAGCCGCCGCCGTTATCTGCCACGTACATCTCGAAAGCTCGCCGGAGCACAGCACTATCGTCCTCGCTATCCCTTAATTCCATCACTTGCATGAAATCGTCAAACTCAAGTAGCGGCGACGAATTCTCGGTTGCGGCGGCGGCGCCGCCGCCCTTTGAGAACTCCCTTATGATCTTCTCCGCCGCCTCGTGGGAAACGGAATCGCCTATCGAAGCGAAATAAGCACTCAACTCACCCGCGGCGATCATGCCGTCGTTGTTCGCGTCGAGGTATCGAAAAACCTGCCGGAACTCCCCTTCCTTATCGTCGCCGCCGCCAACGTAGTTGGCGGTTTCCGGTTGAGGGATCCCGGTTCTCGGCTTGGAGCGGCGGCGGAAGGGGAGACGGAGCTTGAATGAGTTTGTAAAGCTTGCAATCGCCATTTCTATTGTTCAATTATTGGAAAAATTTGTCTTTTTCAATATAAGAAATTAATTTTATTAGTGAGGGGTTTATATAGAGATTACTATTGTATTTGTATATATACAAATTTTATACTATTGCATTCAGAAATTGCCGGGAAGCTTCTTATTAGGTTACATAATTGTGTGAGATAATTAATTGAAGTTGTTGCAGTGGAAATCAAATCTATTTGTGCGGAAATTTAGTGAAAATTTCGTTTGCGTATCCCTAACTTTCGGTTTCTTTCTTCTTTTGAATTACTTCACTTTTGGAGGGAAATTTCGTGGAAACATCTCAAATATAAATTCCATTAATTTAAGGCTAATCTAACGACATTGGTGCAATAAAGGAATATTATTTTGTTGGGTGAATTATAATTTTTTTTTTTGGAATTAATATACTTGTGAAAAAAATCACTTAAATTGTTAAATAAATGGTCCTCGGTAATTATTTTTAGGGTAAATAACAACCGCACCACTTGAGGTATGGTTAAATTACGAAGAAATCCCTCATGTTTGGATAATTACATCTACCCCTCAACTATGAATCTTCTTACATCTCCACCCTTATGGTGTCAAATTCAACATAATAATCTAGATTCCGTGGAATGTTCTCTAGTTTGTACTCGTTTTGTGCAAAAATACAGTTTCTGATGCACCACAATTGATATATACAAGCCAAAAAACACATATTATGGTCATCTAACTTCAAAATGTGGAGTTCGAATGGGATAAAACGGGTCCAAAATTGAGAATATTCCATATAATTTAGAAAATTCCACTGAATTTGAAACCGCAAGGGTGGACATGTAAAAAAATTTATAGTTGACGGGGTAATTGTAATTACCCAAACATAAGGGAGGTTTTCGTAATTTGACCATACATCGGGGTGGTTGTAATTTACCCTTATTTTTTATATTATACTCCTATATGTTGTAATAAAGAATCTCTAACAAGAGATACGAAAATGGAGCATTAAATATTTATTTGATGTTTGATATAATACTACAATCTTTCTTAAAGAGAAATTATTCCAATTACAAGTATTAAATAGATTATCAATTTTTAAATAAATGAATAATTATTAAATGCCACATCTCAAAAAATGATAGACAAATGGAGTTGTGTGATATGTTTGATACCTTATTTTTCAGGGAGTATTTACTATTTTGCATCTTGGAGTGGTTGAGTATCAAAATAAGTACCACAGTAATGCTTTCATTAGAAGAGGATTTTTAATTTTTTAGTATTAAAATGAAAGTTTTATAGTTTGATACTTCATCTGTTTTTTTTAAGTGTCTCTTTAGCCAAAAAAAAAAAAAAAAAAAAAAAAAAAATCACAAGTCAAGTGTCACTTAAGAGTTTCAATGTAGGACAATTTTTTTTCCTTTCTCCAACTTCACCCCTATATTAATAACAGATTCGTGAAGTAATAAAAAGAATTTGAAAACCATTAAAAAGTAGTTTTGTCGAATAAAAGTTTTTTTTTTCTTCTAACATCAAAGTTATTTAATAATTTTCGTAATTTTTCTACAGCTTCACCCCTATATTAATGACATATTAGTGAAGTAATAAAAAGAAGTTAAAAAATATTAAGGGGTAGCTTTATCAAATAAGAGTCCTTTTTTTCTTCTAAAATCAAAGCTATTTAATAATTTTCTTAATTAGTGTGCATAACATTAAACGACACTTAAGTAGCTCAAAATATGAAAAGTCCAACATATATTTTTTGTAATGAAGAAACCCTTAGTCAATTATATAGGTGTACTAGGACAAGTTACATTCTCGTAGAATAGCGCAATCTATACGAAAGACGTAAATCACACTAGGTTGACCATGTGTAACAATCTCCACCTAACGATCATTGCAAGAATATTCGAACTTGGATCAATTGACAGATACTCAATTGCGATCCATGACCCGACAAGAAACGGACGAAAGAGAAAGAATGGTTTCATAACTTCTAGGAATGGAATATCCATCTCATGGTACATTGTACCTAGACATATTCTCAAGAATATCCCAATCAATGAATGCCCTTGCCTCAAAACCCTAATTCAAAATTTGTCGGAAATACTATAAAATAGATACATTGAATGTAGTCATATATGACATTGCATCAACATTTTTTTTTATCAACCCATAAAAAAATCAAATTCATATTGTGCACATATTACTCCTTACAAATATTTATCCCTTCAAACGGTTGCGTACGTATCAACAAAATCAATTTATATACATTCGATATGAATATATATAAATAAATATGAACGAGAAAAGTGATTTAATTTCTAAAAAAACTTATAGTGATTGATCACTGTTTTAACATAATATATATCCAACTAATTAAACGACGCTACGCATCGATAGCGTATAACGTCGCTTTTGTCTTTGTCGAGTTGTCGTTGTTTTCGTAATACCTGGTAATATATAACTCCAAATTAAATGTTATAATCCTTATCACACGTAAGATACATGATTTCTTAAGCGATAAATACGAAATATATAGGATATCATATATAACTGCTAATTAAATTGTACTGCTTTTAAATAATTGTGGTTCATTTGAAAAACAACGGTGTTGATATTTGTAATTTCAAAATTATTTTGTTCTAAAAAAAATCAAAACTTGGAAATCGATGGTGTACGAAAAATTCAAAAAAAAAAATAGTTTAATTTCATGTAATTTGAAACACATAATAATTTTAATATTATAAGTGTAATTTTCGTACGATTGGAGTCTTCGGATAATTATATTTGGAAAATAATTTTGGATAAAAGATAAAACTCTCATATATATAACTGCTATACTATATCTGAAATGCTAAATCTCGCACTAAAATTACCGAATTCTTAATTCATGACATATAATTGCTATATTATATCTGAAACGCTAAATCTCCCACTAAAATTACCGAATTCATAATTCATGACGAAGGCATAGATATCTTGTGATTAAAATACCAACTTTCTCAATTAGTTAATATTGTGATCTTTACTTAGTTTGTGACATACATTAAATTTCAATTGGTCAAGTTAATTCTCATCGTTGATTAAATTTGTTTGAATAGGTGACGACACTATGTGCAGTTTAGCAAGTAAAGGACAAATTCGAATAAATGCACCATGTGAAAAAAATCATACAGAGGTAGATGCAGTAGAATATGCTGCAGTTTTTTACAATATGCTTGACACAAAATAATGCATGTAATTGTACTATAGATCGGTTCAAGAGCGCCGAGTTTTCGATTTTTCGATTTTTCAATTTACTTAGATTGTTATCAAAGTAATTTGTCAAATTTATGGCTCACTCTATGCCAGAATGTTACTTCGTTTATGTGATAGAGAAAGTCGATTTATTCAGTCATTAAATTCACTAAAATAAACAATCTTTAGAGTGATATCTATCTAGGGTAAATTACGGCCACCCCTAAGGTAACGTCAAACTACGAAAAACTTCTTATATTTGGATAATTACAAACCACCTTTCAATTATGAGTCTTCTTACACGTCAACTCATATGGTTTCAAATTCAACCTAATCAAGATTATATTCGTGCAATGTTCTCTAGTTTGTACTCGTTTTTTGTATAAAAATGCAGTTTCTGATGCACCACAATCTGATATTTACAAGTGAAGAGACACATCTTATGACCATCTTGTTCAAATTTTGGAACTCGAATGGGGTAAAACCGGTACAAACTGAAGAATATTCCACAAAAATTGACACCGCAAGACTGCACGTGTAAGAAGATTCATAGTTAAAAGGGATATCGTAATTATCCGGACAACAAGAATTTTTTCGTAATTTAAACTTACCTTAAGTATGGCCGTAATTTATCCTGATATCTATTATCTTTTCCTTGGGGTGATAAAAAGAAAAAAGAAAAAAAAAACTGAAAATGGGACCATCCAGCCAAAACCTAGTACAGCCAACATCCCAAACTACTCTCCACATCCATATATATATATACAGATACATACACCAGAACAAACATTTTTAATATATTCAAGAAAATTAGGAGAGAGAGAGAGAGAGAGAGAGAATAAATAATTAAAAAAATGAAGGGTTTGAAGATATCTTATTGCACAGTTGAGAGAAAAGCTTGTATTAATGGATGGATCAATGATTGGTTCAAAGACTGTCTTTGTAACCTGAAAGATGAAATCTCCTTTGTTTTCGGAGTTTTCGGTTTATTTTTCTGGGCTGTCGCTGAAATCCCACAAATTATTACCAACTTCAACAATAAATCTGCTTCTGCTGTCTCTTTAGCCTTTCTCTCCACTTGGATCATCGGGTATACATATATATATATATATATATATATATGTGTGTGTGTGTGTGTGTGTGTGTGTGTTTAAGGAAAGAATTCTTGATTGTGATAAATGTTATACATGCAGAGATATTTTTAATCTTGTGGGCTGCATTCTTGAACCAGCTACGGCAAGTGATCTTAATTACAAGAGCTCTTAATTAATTAATTACTCTTGATTTATTTATTTATTTAATATTATTCATGTATATAATTGTTAGAGCTTTTTAATTTATTGATATTTGTTTGATGTGTTTTATATGCAGTTACCCACTCAATTCTACACTGCAGTGGTAAGTCTTTGTCAAGTACATTTTTTTACTACAAAAATAAAATTTAATTATATCATCTCGATATAATAAAATAATTATTACTGCCATAGGAAATATTATTTATTTAATTATTTGTTTATTTATTTTTGGTGTGGTGTAGTTGTATACAACGGTTACTATCATACTAGCTCTGCAATGTGTGTATTACAACCATTTCCTCCAATGGTGGAAGAGCAGCCATAAAGAGGCAAAGACGGTAATTAATCTAGAGAATTTTATTTATTAATTAATTTAATTACTAAGAAAATAAGAATATTTTTTTTTTTTTTTTTGAGAGAAGAAAATAAGAATATACTTATCTTTTTATTTATTTTATTTTTAGGTTAAAGATGAGGTCGATTCTCTTGAACCCGGTCTTCAAGATCCACTAATTACAACGACGACGATGACAACAAACGTTCCGGTTGAGGTTCCTCGTACGACGGATTTCTATTTCATGTAATACTATAATTACATGGAGAAAAAAAACCATATAATATAAATTTGTGGACAAAGTAATAATACGAAAGGAATATTGCATAATCATGGCATCGTACGTTTCGTTTTGTATCTATATGTTCATTAATAATGAAATTAAAATGGACGAAAAAGTCGAAAGATCATCATTCATAAATCGTTTCTGAGTTTCGCTTGATTAAATAAAATTTGTAGGCATGCAAACCGCATATTCCGTAACTCGTCCATAACTAAAATATGATACGCATTTGTATAATAAATTGTGTCTATACATTATTATGTGTGACAATATACATTCGATGGATTTAAAATTGAATTTCGATAATTCAAATTTAATTCTTGAGATTGAAAATTTATTGAATAAACAAAAAGTAATTATGTTCATAATTTTGTGGTATATAACATACATATATTTGGACAGGTCAGCAAGATCTTTAGCAGGAAGTGAGACCCCGCCACGTCAGCATTACATAAAAGCTAGGAGTGGGCCCCCTGCATTGGAGCATGACAGCTCAGACTCATCATCTGAACAAGATGAACCTCTAATTACTCAGCCTCGTGCAATTCCTCGCACAGTAAATATCTTTATTATTCTTTTTACATAAATATTAAATTAATTAAAATTAATTAATAATAATATATACTCCCTCTGTTCCACAATAACTGTCTCTTTTTTAAAATATTTTTGTTCCATATTATCTGTCACTTTAGCTTTCCAATACTGCATTAAATTCATTTTTTCCTATTTTAACCTTATTAATTCAACTAAGTATTAACTCTCTCTTATCATATCATTAAATAATCAAGGTTATTTTAGTCTTTCTAATATATTTTACCTAAAATCAAGACACATTTATTGAGCTTCTTAATCTTTGTGCAAAGCCAAAAACGACACTTAATAGGGAACGGAGGGAGTATAATATAATGATAAATGAACCGATTTGTTTATTAATTGAAAGAGGCATGATGAATTTTTATTATTGGAAGAAATAATTATCTTTATATTTTTTTAAATAATTATTTTTATTACCATGCATTTAATTGAAGCTTATGCAATATATTTAATATGCTGAGAAAGTAATTAATTTGGAAATTAAAATATATATATAGGTGAGATATGGATTATTTGTTTCTGCTTCAGCAAATCTTCCACAGTTGAGCAGAGCTTTGAGAAGGGTTCATAGTGTAGAGTTTCCTGGGAGCAGACTTTCGCAGGTAATTTTGTAATGGATTTAAGTTATTAAAATTTAAAAATTAATGTAATTTAAATTATATTTAATAGAGTTATCAAATAATTAAATGTTTTTTTTGTTGATGATGATGAACAGGAATATGAAAATGCATATGGGCAATGGTTAGGATGGTTGATGGCAGTTATTTATATGGGGGGACGAATCCCACAAATCTGGTTGAATGTGAGTGTTTTTGTCGTACTTCTTTTATCAATTTCGATTTTATAAGAAACTTTAACCGTAAACCTGAACCCAAAAATCCAAAACCCGAAATCCGAACATGCAATTAAATACCCAAAAAGTTACCTAGTGAATTTTAATTTAATTTACTCTAATCTAATGCATGTATTTATTTCATGCTATAAGAGCAACTCCAATGGGAGGTACCAAAATGAATCATCAAATATTAAATTGATGCTTGATATAATACTTTGATACCTCTATAAAATTTATGCGTTCCAACCCAAAGTATCAAATAAAGTATTATTTCCAAAATAAAATGATTAAATGCAAATTAAATTAATTCAACTACTTTCTAGTATATTGTTAATGAAAACTAGAAGAAGTTTGTTACGTCACCCCCAAATCTTGTGAATGTGTTTGAAAATGGGAGAATACTATGATGTATATCATATTGTTATCATATTTATTATACAGCTCGATCTTAAATTCTATGTAATCATCTTACTTTTCTTCAATTTACCATGCATCTAATTCACATTGTTTTAACATCTAAATCAATAATCAAATAATTTAATTAAATAGTCAGACCATAAAAAGACAATTTCTTTGTTTAAAATTATATTCCAAAAGAAAACACAATCACAACAAAAAATTACCAATCAATTATGGATTTTCGTAAACAATTAAAAAAATTAAAACTTTTGTGTGCGGTGAGGCTAACTTTTTCTTGCAAAATTAGTTCTTCTACTTTTAAATTGCGTATCCAGTAGAAAAGGTATTCCTTTGCATCTAGTGTTTATACAGCGGAAAAGTATTGCAATAAATATACGTATCCCTTTTCTTTGGAAATTTGTTGTGATATATTTTCTTCCCGTTGAAATTGCGGTTGAGATTTTTCAGGATTATTTGATACCATTTTTTTTGGGTGTATTTTTGCACCTCATTGAAGCGAAGTATCAAAAAAAATAGTACTTTGATACCTCCGTTGGAAAGGAATTTTTGAGATTTGGAGTATCAAAATGGTAGTTTTACCATTTGATACTCCATTTAATTCCCCCGTTGGAGTTGCTCTAAGACATAATTAAGGCATAATTTGAGGAAAAAAAGTCGTTTTTTTCATGTTCGGTTAAATTATAGAAATTTGGAGTTTTTTTATTTTAATCATTGCGAATCTCCCCAACCAAACGAGGCCTAACAATTATAAGATTGTTTATCTTAATTCTTGAGTTTCTCAAGACCACTAATATGTCTTTGCTTTTGCTGTTTGCAGATCAAACGAGGAAATGTTGAGGTAATTAAAGATATTTTTTTTTTTATTGATTAATTTTACTATATTATACAATATATTCTCTAACATACATAATTGTATATTATGGCTTTGTGTTACACAGGGATTGAACCCTCTAATGTTTGTGTTTGCACTTTTGGCAAATGCTACATATGTTGGAAGGTACTTAACAAACAATATTTCTAAGTATCCATAAATTAATTAACTTACTTAATTAATTAATTCATTAACTAATTATTTCTAACAATTTAGAAGTTTGATAAA